AGGCTAGGTGGCATTTAACTTCGGGTTTTATGCCCCCCTCCCTCCCACCAATTGCCTATAAATGGCAATTTTTTGTAGTGTATTCAGAGACGCCGAAGGCTACAACTAAGCAATTTGTTACATTCATTTCCTATCTAAATCGACCACGTTTTAGAATCGAAGTGCGTATAAATGCATGCGCCAAAAATCGTACTGCGCATGCGCAAAACTCAACTTTCTTATTTACGGGGCAATTTGATCCAAATCCCTGTAAATGAAAGCAAACAAAATGCATGCGCAAAAAACCGTACTGCGCATATTGAGGATGCGCAATAGGCAACTTTCTTATTTATGCAAAAGTTTGGGGCAGTTTTGAGGTCCTTAGGTGACCTTTTTGGAGCCTTAAACATTAATATTCGCTAAAAATCGCATTAATTTTTAAATGAACGCAAGTTGAAGGTGGTTTGACGCAAATAATCAATCGTAAAATATCAAAAAATTACAAATACTGCGAGCTCAGCCCTCCCATGAGCAGAGATCTCAAACGAGCAGACAGACAGATGATGGAAAATTGAGCACATAAACGTTACCGCAACTTCGTTCTGTTAAGCTAATCATCAATAGAAAATAAATTTCCGTCCTTGTGCGCCACGATGGCGCCCTTACCTTCCTTAACAGTTTTAGCCTCAGTTTTAGCTGTCTGGAACCTTGAATATGAAGAAATTTATGCTCAAGGAAACTGTTGATATTTTGATTATAAATAAATACAGGGAGTTCAAAAATAACATTAAGCATTGAAATTAAATAATTGTTTTTTGAAATAGGCCCCCCCCCCCTTGCTTGTAACTTTTATGAAGTACAAAAAATAAGGGTAACTTTGTATGAAGTAGCATTCGTGGTGCTACACCCTGTATTTCAGCATTTCAATATAAAATTTAATATTTTGGAAATGGTTAACCCTGATTTTCATGTAAAGTAATCACCCTATGTACAAATACAACCCCTAAAATAATAAGACAATAATAATAATGAGAATAATAATCATTTTTGGATTATGCCCACAACACTAAAAGAAGTTACCGAGTATTTACCTGATAGCCCATTTTTTTCGCATTGGAATCCATGCACTGTAAAACCTCGGGCGCAATGTAATCCGGTGTCCCTACGGGAACACCTTCGTTAACAAATCCACGGGAATCGAGCCGAGCAGAAGAACCGAAATCGGCCAGCTTGATATGCCCGCAACGATCCAGCAGGATGTTTTCCGGTTTAATGTCCCGATGCACGTAGCCCATCGTGTGTAAATCGTGCACGGCGAGCACCTAAAAAGCGGCTGTAGGTGGTCAGAAAACGACTCGCATGCGACTTACCAATTCGGCCAGATAAAATGAAGCTGCACTTTCCGGAACCGTCCCCCCTTGTCTTTGAAGCAGGCCCGAGAGATCGCCGCCGGGGAAGTACTCCATCACGAAGTAAAGATTGTTAGCGTCCTGAAAGGCGTACTGCAACCTCGTCAGCCACACCGACTTCGCGCACACCATAATATCGCGCTCCTCCTCGTACGAGATGTGCTTCTGCCGCAGGCAGTCCGACTTTCTGATCATCTTCATCGCGTGAACGTCGCCGGTTTGCTTCTCCTTCACGACGAACACCTCGCCGAAGTGTCCGCGCCCGATCACATTCTTCACCTCGAAGTCGGAAACGTTAACGCGTAAACATCTCAGCTCGTTCACGACCCCCCGATGTCTGGTCACGAACTCGCCGATGTGTCGATCGAACTTCTTCAAGCAGTCGTTGTTGCTTTCGTCGTATAAGACCGTTAGGGCGTCCAACAAACCGTCGCGATTGAGCAAGTTGGTTCGGCTGTTCGAGGTTTTCGTCGATAATAAATTCGAGTTTAGTTGAGCTGTTCGCGCACTTATCGGATCCTTTGAGGGTTCCATTGTCTTTAAAATCACTTTTGCTCGTTATAGCTGCAGCATTTCTATGGAGACATATTTGAAAATCAACACAAGAAAAACCGTTACAGACTGATCGAAAAGATAGGTTATATCAACAACACGTTTGAATTTGATTGGTTCATTTTAACCGTTAGAAATCGCCAGGGTCGCACTAAGAAACACGTTGACATTTGCCGTTTATCAACTGGGGGCTCCCAAGTACGTTTACAATGGAGATTTAGATTTTGTTTGGTCGTTCAGTGCTAGAAGTATAAAAAAATGGTTGTGATATTAGGGTAATCTTTAAATGGGCCAAAATTCTGTTTCACCTCCTACGCCCCTCCTCCTGAGTGTCATTTTTACGGGCCCCGAAAGTTCAAAATGACCCAAGGTGTGTCAAAACCACTAAATAAGTTCTTTACGACCTCTAGAAAGCTTTGTAGACGCGTTTCTGAGTATTACTAGGCTAATCTAGGCTCTTTCCAACGGTTTTCAGTACTTTAGACGATTTTTAGGTCCCTGTTAGCTCCCTTACAGAGATTTTTTGATTCTCCGAGATACCCTTTGCAGATTTGAATGCTGAAACTTCCCTCTAGCCACCAAAATGGACGTGTTTGTACAATTTTTGTTTTTATTTATGAAAATTACAAATTACAATAGGCGGTTCGTGCTGAAACGAAAGCCCAGTATAGAGATTTACTTTGAATTACACGGTGATTTTCGAAAGTTTGTTACATGTTACATGTGGTCAAATTTTTCTTGGATGTGGCAAAAGCTCGGTTTCGAAGACTGCCCCGAATCGACTATACATACATATATAGAGTGCTGTGTAATTAATTGCATTTATTTTTACAAGCAATTTTTAAATTAAATACTCGGCTTACCCAAATTACAAGAGACTTTACATTTACTGGGTTGGTAAACACACGTGACAAAACATGCCATCCTTATCGCTGACACTGTTCCACCAGTTTACCAACTTCTGCGGTTGGTGGTGGTTAAGATTGGGAGGTTCCACTCTGTGTATACAACTTACGACGATACATACATTTTTGAGAGTTGGCAACCATGCAATTTCTAGGTGGGAAAAAGCCATATATCTTCTCTTAAGCCGTATTTATAGTTCCGTAGCCGTAAGAACGGAACCGTAAAATCTTACGTTAACGAAAATTATACGATTTATAGTTACCGTAGTGGTAAGAGATGAGCTTGCGCATTAGTGCGAAACGAGATCTGTCATTGTATGTCATCTGTCAGTAAGAGTAACGTGCATGCAAAATAATAATAACCAACAAAGTGTCAATAATTATTGTAAATAAACGAAACGAACGTCAGGATAAACTCAACTGTTTCAATTATCCGAGTACTGCCGACAACAAACGCGTTAGCACGATTTACCGTAAGAAATAAGATTTGGGCATTTCTTACGTACCGTAACCGTTCTAACGCAACGTTAACGCGAACTATAAATGTTCACGCGCAACAAGTAGGGTTTAAAGCTGAATTTATAGTTCCGTACCCGCAACGCCGTACCGTAACGTTTGGAAATAAACCCTACTTGTTGAGCGTGAACATTTATAATTCGCGTTAACGTTGCGTTAGAACGGTTACGGTACGTAGGAAATGCCCAAATCTTATTTCTTACGGTCAATCGTGCTAACGCGCTTGTCTTCGGTAGTACTCGGATAATTCAAACAGTTGAGTTTATCCCTCGGTTTATCCTGACGTTCGTTTCGTTTATTTACAATAATTATTGACATTTTGTTGGTTATTATTATTTTGAAATGCATGTTACTCTTACTGACAGATGACATACAATGTCAGATTTCGCTACGCGCTAATGCGCAAGCTCATCACTTGCCACTACGGAACTATAAATCGTATTATTTTCGTTAACGTACGATTTTACGGTTCCGTTCTTACGTTTTTACGGCTACGGAACTATAAATCCGGCTTAATTCCAAACGTTACGGTACGGTGTTGCGGTTACGGAACTATAACTTCAGCTTTATATATATGGAAAAAGCTGCCTGCGCCCAAGGTTATTTTAAAGTCACTAAATATAGAAAGTACCGCAACTGGCGCAACAAGGTTGTTTTATTAAAATAAAATAACCTTGGTACCGCAATCCATTGGGCTCGTGTGTTAGAGAGAGAACGCAGATTCTGGTAACTTTAATGCAGAGATATAGATGTATCCGATGTATCTCTGCTTTAATGTTAGGGAGGGATTGTTCCACCTGTTTGGAGATATCTGTATACGTTAGAAAAATAGTATTCCACAATGTGCAAAAGACTGCAATCAGAAACAATGAAACGATCGTAAGCATCCACCCCAATTTATTAATGTAAAAACACAAAAAGAACAACTAAAATATATTTGACTACAACAACGCGTGATGTACTACGAAGTTAGTTATTTACCGCCGAAGAAGTTGGCAACAACGAAAAACCATAGAATGCGATTAATTCTTCCAACGGTATATATTTTTATAAAACATGACAGTACTATGAAGTTATAGGTTATACATTTACAGCTATTCAGATTTTATTTGTCAATTTTTTTAAGTTGGCAGTAAATTTGCCCAAAAATGGCGGGTGATTGCGGTACTTTCTATATCTAGTGACTTTAGGTTATTTTATTTGCCTGCGCCATCTAGAAAGCACTAACGTGGGTTACGTTGGGCCTCTTGTCTTGAATGGCGGTCGTGGACGCGTCGCTCCATAAATGTTTGTTGTTATTTTGTGTTTTTTTAATCCAGGTAGTAATCTTTGCATTTCTTTATATTGTGTTTGTGTTTTGTATGCCACATTTTACATTTTTGTGTGTTTGAATCTTTGTTTTTGAAATTTACTTGGTTTAACCGCAATTCATAATCACATATGTGATACCGTTATGCTATTGTTTCTAATTGTTTACGTTTTTGTTGTGATGCTTGCTTAATTTATGTTTATTGATGTTGATTACTTGGCCTTGTCCCTGAAGTAACATTCATATAAGTTTTCACCATTTTATTTTTAATATTGGAAATTACCGATTCGCTTGATGTACTGACTTGTTGTTTGTAACTAGCCTATTTCTATTTTTATTCGGTGAACTACCGTTTTCAAAGTTTGTTTTTGCAATGTAATTTATTTGAACTTAAATTTCCGAGCTTTCACAATCTTAATAAACTTTTCACAATGTGAGTATTTTATTTTACGTTCCTTCCCTACTGTGCTTCAGGTCAAAGCGTTGTATACAACGCAAGGATGGCCATTTTTAAATGTTGCCGGGTTGGCATTTTCTTCCCGCGTTCTTGTAGTATGAAGTTAGCGTAGAACCTGGGGGTTAAAGTACACTACAAGATTGATTGTAAGAGAAGTATACGGGTTTGAATACAAACCACCCTCGCTCCCGTCCCTTTCCACTGTCAGCATTACTGTGACCAGGTCCCTTCAACAAAAAATTCCCATGGTGGTAGTAACTTAACGCTATTCCTAGCTAAGATGCACGATCTAGGATTGCGCCCCACTTCAGCGGATGGGAGATCAGGTTGCCTAGAGTCCTCTGGTTCCTATCTATAAGCTTAACCGATAATGACACATGAGTAAAGGAGAAAGAGTCGACTAGTATAAAATTTGACCTGTATAAATTTTAGACTTGTAGGTACACTGTCGTGGAATTGTACTGTCAAATGGTAGCTGTGGCATAAAGTTCCTGCTGAATAATGAAAGGTAATTAAATTGATTTTAGGCGCAACTTTATTTGTTTATTGTAATTTTGAGAATAAAATTTATGAGGAGTCTTTACAGGTACGAAAAAGAAACGGAAACGTATGCTTTTGGTGATTGGTGTAATGGCAATGGCGTAACTTTGATGCATTCGACAGTGGCGCCGACTGCGAGGGGGCAGTGTGTCATGACGTTAGGAAATAATTTCAACAAATAATGTCTGGGTGTAGTTAGGGTCATTTACTGCATTAGACAAACCCAAGTGTTTGTGACAAGCCGGCGCCACTGAATTTGTTATTATTTGGTTTAAGATTGTTGTTTAATGATGAACAAAACTTAGGGGTGGTGGGTGGGGGTGAAACCAATATTTTTATCAAACTAGGTAGACATCATTAGTATATTATAAAGAAAATGTACAAATTCAACTTGGCATGTTTTCATTCCGTTACCACTGTTAAGTTAAAGTCGAGATTTCAAAATGAGAAGATATATTCCAGTCAAGTGCAAATATTCAACAGTCGTAGCCTTCGATTAATAGAATCCAAGTTGGTTGTGGTACAAAATTAAAAACAAGTTTAGGAAACCTATGCAGGTAGCAACTATTCTAAGCAGGGGTGAAATACACAGGATGTGACTCATCTTTGGTGCAATAAAATTCTTTTGTTAAAAGTAAGATGGAAAATTGCATGGCCTTGGAGGCAAATTCAAATGTTAAGGCAACATATGTGAAAATCAGTGAATCGCAACTCATATATCACACATAGATTCAAAACCGATGAGTTTTTATTAGCATAATCTTGCCCCCAAGATTTGTAGCATGAGCCCTCGTTCGGGAATTCCCAGACTATAGTTGGGAGTCAAGAGCAGTCCCAGCTTAAGGTGTCGTAACTGATTTGGTTACAGTTTTTCCACCCCTATGACCGTCTCTTCACATCAAAACAATTGTATAATTTCCACATGTTTAAAAGATTGATCAAAACTTATATGAATATTACTTCTGGTCAAGATCATATGTAATCAAAACATCAACATAAATAAAGCAAAGATTACACCAAAAACGTAAAGGATTTCAAACAAAAGGATAAGGGCATCAAATGTGCTGCATTAAGTACCGTTAAATCAAGTCAATATCAAAAACAAGAAATTGAAACCCACAAAAATATAAAATGCTGCATACAAAACACAAATACGATGTAAAGAAAGGCAAAGATTACTACCTGCATTAAATAACACTAAAATAACAACAATCACGAGCGATGCTTTCATGACCGCCATTAAAAACAGAATCCCCAACGTAACCAACGCTCTCCAGATGGCGCCAACAGTTTTACTCTCCTTCTCCTAAAAATTAAGTGGTTGCCAACTCTCAAAAATGTGTGCATCGTCGTAAGTTGTATATACAGGGTGGAACCTCTAAAGTTGAATATATCACACACGAACGAAAACAAAAATACAGAAGCCAAAGCAAACATATTCAAATTAATTATAATGTGACAGTCAGATCTTTATTTATTTTTAGAAGTTATTTTGGTTGCATAAAATTAGGCGCCCTTCAGAAGTATTTTGTTATTTAACAGTAGACACAGGGAAAAACAATACACGTTTTATATCAATTATGAGATTTATAAAGTGTTATTCAAACAAAATATAATGTAGTATGAATTACAAACAAATAACTGTTTAATTTTTGGAGAAATATATATTTTTTTAAATAATAAAAGACATTAATTTTAAATAACGAACCTATTTCAAGTTTATTTTACAGTTTAATACATTTAAATCTGTTTCAGAGAATTTAACGGTTACGTGGCGTTATTAGGCCCCCAAGGTACGATCATGAAATTGATAAAAATGGATAGAGGGCACCCTAATTAAGGGTTTTCAACAAACAAATTTGCGGGAGAAGTCCTAAATATTCCACAATTTTAATACAAAGTTCACAATAATTTCGTCGAAATGTGAGGTTATATGTTACACCATATTTATGATTACTCTTAAGTTGGTAAGAGTTTGCGTAACATTCCAACTTCAATTTCATAAGAGGTTATGTTATTTTTCTACGATAGTACTGTAGAATTATTTCCCAAATTTGGTTTTTTGTCGCTCCTAAAAATTTGT